TAAAATTCTTTTAACTTTTAGAAAAATTCCTTGAACAAACAAGTGACCGATAGATGATATATCCGAAAATAATAGGTCATCATAATATATATTCGCTAAAATATCTTCTGAAGACAATCGAATGAATGAAAACAAGACGATAGGAGAAATCATTTTGATGTAGGAAAATCCACTGAAGAAGGTGGTATTTGTCAGCTGAATTACATAAGAATTAAAGAGATCATCGCATATATTTGTTAAAATCTCTTTCATACATGAAGAAACATGAAAATAAAGAGATTCTATTGATTGTAGAAAAGTCCGCTGAAGATAGAAATATCCGTCAGAGAAATATACATACACAAGAAGAAATGAAAATAACAGAATAAGAAGTCTTCTTGAATTTTAGATAACCCATTGACGACAGAAATATCCCTTTGTTGAATATATACACGAAACGAGTCGGTCGGCATCTTATATTTTTTTTTTTGAAAATCTCTTCGATAAATAATCAATGGAAGAAAAATAATAGAAAGAAAAGAGTTCTCATGATTTGAGAAAAGTTCGTTGAAGAAATGAATATCTCGTAGCGGATTATAAAAATGTAACAAATCGAACATCAGTATCTTTTTCATGGAGCGCGCACATTTTATTGAAAAAATTGAAGATAATCTAATGAGAAAAATTCAACTGTTTTTTTTAAGTATTTTTAGGGATAAATATTCATTAGTAGAATTAATATCCAAAACATATCGATCATCATATTATCTATTCGTTAAACGCACTTAAATATATAATTAAAAAGAAAATGATGGTATAGAAAGTTCTTTTGGTCTTAGACACGTGTGTTGAAGAAAGCAAATACAGGGTAACGAATTGTATACACGACAGAAATGGATCATCAAAACAGATGTTAGTAAAAATTCACTCAATATAGAATTAAATGAATCAAAATATAGGAATAACAAAAGGTTTTATGATTTTTTACAAAATTGCGTTAAAGAAAGAAATAATTGTTGTACACCACCAGATATAGGAAACGAAACTAACAGACGTTTTATTTAAGTAAAATAAATCATTTTATGCATGTTTTAGGAAACGAAATAAAATGAACAGAAAAATTATTTTGACTACTAAATCATTTTTAATATCTAATAGATTAAATGAACACAATGGAATTGAAATATCGTTTAGATTTTTAGAAAGGTTTCTTAAATTAACAGATCATTACTATAACTAATGATACGCATGAAAAACATCTGTCGTGATGGATAAATATTCAATCAATCTGTTTTCTACATGCTCAAATCAATCAAATGTTAGAAAGAACGGAAATTCTTTTGGTAATACCATCATTCTTTAGAGAAACAAATAACTGCCAGTATATATGATATGTACAGAACAATAAAAGTTTATACTCGTGAATATTGATTAAACTCATTTTCATACGCAATCAAATTGTTGTAAACAATAGAATAAGAAAATTGTTTTATGATTTTAAAAAGTGCGTTAGAAAAACAAGAATTGTTTATTTGATTACATATACGAAAGGATTTAACTTATTTAGATCTCTCTTCTATTCATTTATAAGAACTAAATCATGTAAAAATAATATGTTTTATAGAACAGAAAACTACTCGAAAACGAAGGAATATCTACTGGTTCATTATATATATACAATAGATTTGCCCTATTGATTTACTTTTAACCGAGACTTTGTAACATATACGTGAATGAATCATTTCAAGCGAAAAGAAAAGTCCGCTGGAAAAAGGAAATGTCCGTTAGTTGCGTATACATGTTTTTATTTCCTTTCGCTACTGATATATATGACATTTCATAAGGTATGAAAGGTCCCATATAAGCTAATGGGACTTTTAGTAAAGTGGACAATTTTTGGTCTTTTGACACTGCTGATAAGTCTCTATCTCATACAATAACATTTAATAGAGTTTCGAAGGAAACTCTCCTAACACATATAATCAATAGATCGGAATCTTTCATATCTATTAAGTTAATTTATCTATAGATACTTCGAAAGGTTTTTTATGCATATTGTTCATATAGAAAAAATATTGAAACTATTCAATTGTCAATATTAGTAAAAATACGTTGAACCTAAGATAGTTTTTATGAAAAGATATATCTTAGATAAACAACATTATATTAATGAATATCTACAGTATAAAATAGATGATTTTATTAAAATATCTACTTGATATTCAATCTTAAAGAAGAATTAAACTATCTAGAATTATTCAATGCCTCTCATTTATTCTTAAAGGAGATGGAAGGAAGCTTTTTTTTGTGTATAAATCGTTAAACAAAACAAAATAAAGACATGTTGATAAGATAGATTAGTTCTAAAATCTAAATATATTCTTGAATAGTTAGTTATTTAATAAATAGTATTATCTCTTTAAATATTAATCATGTTATTTAATAAATAAGATCTTTATGTTTAATTTAATGTTGAACAACTATCTTATGAGAGTGAGTAGACCTCTTCCATGAAAAACAATTCATTAAATTATATTTTTATTTTTATTTTAACGATTATAAATTTGATTAATATTAAAAATGTTAGATTATCTTAAAAACGTCTTCAATATTGATTGATAGATCTTATTAAATTCAATAAAAACAATATTATCCTAACTTATATTCAATATGAAAAACAACGATATTAACAAACTCTTAGAATTTAGATAAAAATCATTCAATTAATATAAGAGATGTTATCTCATTAGATAGGATTTCTGTTTTGTTCATTATAATCGAATTAAACTGTTATGTTATCTAGCAGATAGAGAGCGATTGCTACAAATTAAATTGATATTATCCCAGGTCGAGAAGAACGAATAAAGAACGCGTTCGCCACGTACTTCGCGAACGCGTGCGGAATAAGTAGTTGTGCACGCGTTCGTACCGTTCCAAACGCGTTTTTGCATCGTTCGTAACGCATTCTTTTCATCGTTCGTAACGCATTCTTTTCATGTTTGATGTCGCTACGAACGCTTCTTTGAATTGGCCTTTATAGCATATGATTCAGCTGTTTCAGTTGTCTGTTTTTAAAATATTAAAAATAAAATTTTATTTATTATGAGTTTTCTCTATTTTACAATTATTTCAAGTACGAAATTATAAAAAAAGGAGAAAAAAACAGAAGTAAAAACAATAGCTGAAGTAGGAAGTTCACAAAAAGTATGCGTCGCTTCATTATATGTTTCTTTTGGCTTTTGTGACGGCAATCTGCAAGGATAAAATTCAAACGTACTTGGTAAAAGACAGGGCCGTAGCCAGGATTTCCGAGTATGCTGGATCTCAGCTTCGGAGCATGGAACCCAGTTGAAACCTATGGAGGATGATATTGGACCCAAATGATGAGTTTTTATGAAAAAATGTTTTCAATCGGATTTTGCGAAAAAACAGTTATTTGTTTTAGCCCCCTCTCCAAATTTTTTTTGCTCTTTATAGTATTCCGTTTTTTAGAATTTGAACCTAATCTACATTGAATTTCATCGACAGACTTCAAATTTCATCAAAAAATATGCATCCATTCAGGAGTAATAATGTTTTGAATTTTTGTAAAAAATTTTTTTTGTCACCAAAATTCAAAACGTTATAACTCCTGAATGAATGCATATTTTTTGATGAAATTCAATGTAGAATAGATTCAAATTCTAAAAAACGGTATACTATAAAAAGCAAAAAAAAATTAGGGGGCTAAAAAAAATAATTTTTTTTCGTAAAATCCGATCGAAAAAATTTTTTCATAAAAACTCATCATTTGGGTCCAATATCATCCTCCATAAGTTTCAACTGGGCCCCATGCTCCGAAGCTGAGATCCAGCATACTCGAAAATCCTGGCTACGGCCCTGGTAAAAGATCAGTAGAAAAGTAGACTTACGAAGTTTATCATTACCATTGCCATAAGAATTATCTAAAACGATAGAAAACAATTAATTATAAGATTGTACAATATAAGCGTGAGATATATTTAGAGATAAACTAGTGTTTTTCTCACTTTCTTGATGTGCAGTATCTGAAACGAAATATATGAATTATATTTTTTTAATCGTTTGGTTTAGGAATTGTATTAGTATATCATTTCCATTAGTTATAATAATTACCAAACGATTCGAATATACTCTTCATCAGTATAAAAAAAATCATAAAGTCGTCGTGAATAACTTTTTTTTCTTCAGTGAAGAACTCTATGAAATTTCAATACTATATCAAGTAAGATGCAGTTGTTAATCGTAACATCAGTATGAAATGAATTGATATTAGGGTAATAATCATCATGTGCATCGTTGATATGAACAATACTATTCGTAAAAAAACAACGGTATATCAGTTTTATTTAAAAAAAAAATAAAAAAATCAAGTCAAAGTTTAGTCATCGAATTTATCTAAAAATGATAATGAATTATTTCTGAATCAGATTTAATTTAAAAAAATATTTTCCATAGCATTGTTTTTATGAATTACTATTAATTTTGATAAAATCTTATCCATATATATACTTTATGATGAGAGCCATTCCTGAATTCTTTTAGCCAGCCTCCACAAAGAAGACATCAGAACGTTACGAACGCGTTTAAAACGCGAGAACGTATTGAACGCATTGAGAACGTATGCGGAACGCATTTTTATCGGTTCGTACGTTCTGCACGCGTTTTGTCGCTGTTCGTCTCGACCTGGGATTATTTAAGTGAATTGATCGACCAATAAGGAAAATATCTGATATTTTACAAATGAACAAATCTATAGTCATCAGGCGACATCTTATGTATAATTTATTCGAATATGAAATAAACGTCGTTATCTTATTGCTAAATACAGACAAAGATCTTTTGAAATGATATATATAAGGAAAGAATTCTCTTTCTCTCTCTCGAATTAGATAATATCATTCTTCGTCGATATTTATTCTATTATTATAAAAGAACGTCTTTCGATTTCTGATGGGTTTTATAAAAGTATGTTTTTTCATATTCGTTTCTTATTATTCTAGATGAATCAAAATCGAATAACGATAAACAATGTTGATGAAGTAAGATAGTTGCGTTTTTAATTGTTATCAACAAAAGACTATTTTATTTCTATAGAATGTTGGACCAAATGGTGAAACACGACAAGAACAACGTATACAATATCGATTAGATAATATTCATGCCGGATATTTAGCAGTTATTGCTTACAATCAGTTTTGGTATAATGAATATATTAATAATCAAGCTGAACAACTTAATCAACAATCTCTAATGCTTCACAATGAACAAATCGATGCTGTTCGTTGTATTATCAATAAAATATTAGATCGAGTTGAAAATATATAAATTTTACTTTATCTCTTCATATTTCTCTCTTAAACAAAACAATTTATCCACGTATGTCTTTTGTTGTATGAAGAAAAAAAAAAAAAAGAAAAGTCTCTTCATCGAGTTTTTTTTACTGTGTAAACGTAAAAAATTCTTCGTCAAATTCTTATTCTCAGATAAAACTCAATGTATTTTTGCTATGTTAAACAAGAAATAATTTCTTTGTCAAGTTTTTGTTTTTTTTGTCAGATAAAAGAAAGTTTTCCTTCATGTGTCGATTTTTTCTACATCTATTTTTTTTTGTCAAACAATAAATAATTCTTCATTATTTTGTTAATGTAACACGAGTCAACATTTTCCTTGAATTGTAAATATATATATATAAGATTCCTGTAAAATAACAACGGTAGATATTTCTATAAATGTAAGAAAACATCTTGGACTGTTTTAAGAAATTTATCAGACAGATTTGGTAGATTTCAAAGTAAAGCGTTTCAAAGACTTATTCTTCATTAAACTTGTCTATCTGGATAATAAGTATCCTAATAGTTTTTTATCATCTTATGTCATTATATATATATAGATAATTGAAAAAAAATGTTTATGAAGGATATATAGATTATAATATGTATAATATTCTCAATATATAAGACGATTTTTGAATAAAACTAGTTAAAAATCAATGAACTGAAAATGATTAAGTCAAGTCAACAACAATGAGATATTTCGATTTTATAGTCATTTTTGTCAAATGATCATATAAACTTATTTTAGTTTGCTAAGATTAATTAAAGAAACTTATAAAAATTCAGAAAAAAAAACAAATAGAAAGAAAGATACTTTTTTATCGAAGAGTAAGAAAGACGTTATTGGTTTATACCGTCAGTCTCTTTCTGCATGTTCTTATGTAAAAAACCTGAAGAATTTCCTCTTTCTTTCCTTATCTGAACAATTTCGAACATCTTTTTTTTTTCAGTCTAGCATAAATTGATTTCTTTCTGTTATTGATATTATATTATTTATTAGAAGTAATTCCTTTCTCTTTGATGATCTATTATCCATTTAAAAAAAAAGTCACTCTGGAAGAATGCTTAGAACTTCAGAAGGGAATGATAGAGACCTATGGTTTTATCCTTGCATAGAGCATAGTAGAGCACATATCACTATCAATCAAGGCCACTTTCACATAAGAATTAACATGATAAATCTTCGAATTCAAACTTGACAAGCTTACAATTCATTGAGCACACTATCGGTTTCGATTTATAGATAGAGAAACGAACAGCTCGAATCGAAATCTATAATTGTAGATCAAGGCCACATCTATACATTTTACAGTTCGACAGTTCTATGTATTCTTCGTTAATGTATTGACTCCTATCCCAATGGAGTAAGTGCTGCCCTCAACACTCAAATTAGCTACCAGATGCTGAGGAGATGTCGAGACACCGAGTAGACTCTTGTACTTCTGAAGACACAAAATAAAGATAGACTGGTAGTTTAGGACAGGAAGATAGTTCTATCTATTACAATCGATATTCTATGATAATGTCAATGAAGATGTCTAATATGTTATCAGATGGAAAGTCAACCTTCGATGCTTTTTCATTTCATTCTAATGGACATATCAATTAATTCTGACTTTGTTCTTATAGGACCTAAATGTGTAGATGTATTTTTTCTTTAAGATAGTGTTATAAGATTGGTACATAGTCTTAATATCTACTATATTATGTACAAGATATTGATTTTTCTTAGATATTGAACCGTTTCATAACAATTGTTTTTTATGCTTAGATAAAATGTTCTAAGAAATGAAATTGTAAAAAAAGACATGTCTTGATTGGTTAGATGTACAATCATTCTAAACTCAAGTGAAAATAGTTTTAGGCAGGCAAAGTCATTGGTCTATAGAAATATTCACAATCTGATGTTGTCAAAGGCTATTTTCATAATAATAATAGTTAGCTAATTTTTCATCTTAGTTATATCACTTTTATCAAAAAGAATTTGCTTAAGACACAATCAGAAAAGAAAATCGATCTCCAAATTAAAAGTCTGATCGATTTTAAAGGTTTTCAGAACTCTAGCATGTATTTTATTTTAAAAAAATTGTTTTTTTTTTGTGTCTAGGATACTCTCAGGAGTTTTCTGAAATTTCTTGTCTCTTTATTTGACTTGTGTTGCTGAGAACTACATAGAATAGCATGTCTTGATCATAAATATCATATTTATTTAAAGGTTTGACTCTTCATAATAGATATATGAACCAATGAAAACGAGAAATTTTCTTTCTATCGAAAATAGTCAATACCATTATCAACGGATCCTTTATCGCATGTAGTAATACTTGGAGGTACTAGAAAGCGAAAATGTCTCGATGAATCAGCATGATGTTCATACGCATCAGAAGTAACTTATTAAGTTATCTAATGGGTATGAAAAGCATGCTGATTCATCAAGACATTCTCATTATTTGAGGTACATTTGAAACATGTTTATACATGATATAGAGAGTATTGGAAGTGATATTTGTCCATTGTTAGTTTATAAATATTCGTGTCTTTAAACTTTCTTACATATTCCTATACCAAAAAAAAAAAAAATTCTATATCTGGTGAAGTCGTGTTACAAACTATGATAATTTGTTATTAGTTCATCTTGTTGGATGTATTGACACTAAACAGAAATGGAATGAAGAGAAAAAGATCTGACGACATTCTGCGGACGCTCCACACACAAAAAATTGATATTTTATAAAATGCACACGTTTGTTCAAGAAAATCTTCATAACTAATCCGACTTTTCATTGAACATTTCGATTGTATTTTTATAAAATAAGCTAGTTTTATTGTTGATGGTAGGGAAATGTTTACCGTTTTTATTTATAAGAGAAAAATCATTAAACACCATGTCAATGTATAGGAATTAGCTCGAAGACGAAAACGTGATCTACAAATTTTGAAAAAATTCTGTAGATACATAACAACTTTGAATTGCAATAAGTTTTGTTTTATTTAAAATATAT